GTTAGTGTCCAATTAAAATGCCTTTATTAAGCTTTAAGTAGAGTGCATACCAAGAGCATCACACCAGCACTAATGAAACACAGGCCCCAGCACACCCAAAGTGAGATTGTTAATTCAGAGGTAACCAGAGCTGGTTCCTGCCTTTGTGAATTTGGCAATTTGGAAGTCCCTGCAGTTTCTATCCATCTGCACCTCAGCCAGCAAATCTGGAAAATTAAAAGGCAGCAGACCTGCATCACATACGGGTGTGGATCAGTGAGCAGCAGCAGCAGCAAGGACTGGGACAAGGTTCTGCAAAGCCACAGTTCCCCTGGGAATTCTGACCACAGGACTTTCTGTTCTTCCAGGTGGCCACAGCAAGGACAGGGCCCAGGACACCCCTGGCACCAAACATTTTCTGCTCCTGCTGCAGGTGTGCAGCACCAGGAGCCCACCAGGCACATCCCAACCCCAGGCACATCCCAACCCCAGAGCCACTGCTGATCCTTGGTCCTGCCTCCCCTACCCAGGGACTCTTAAATTCTGACATCATGACCTGAAGAATCATCCTCATTCCCCATGGGGAGGAACACAGGTGTAAAACAACTCCAGGTCCTAGCCCTGGGGACAGATGTCCCCAGGGTCATTTGTCCCCTGCATTTGCTGAAAGGCAATTCTGAAATGAGTCCTGCAGGCTGCACCCATGCACAGCACCAAGAAGCAGGATCACTTCTGGAGAAAGGCAAAGGCTTTCTCAGAGACAGCATCACACACAGGGATGGAGGGGAGGGAAAAGAACAGCTTCTCACTGATGGCAATGCCCTGGACTTCTCTGCATCTCCCAGCAGAGACACAGTTGTCATTCCTAAGCATCATGCAGGTGCTGTCTGCTTCACTGAGGGAAAACACAGCATGAATTTACAACAAATACAAATGTAAGGGTTTCAAGTCAGACTAGAAACCACTTTCTTCATTGGTTTGATTGCTTAGCATTATCAGCCTGGATCTGTTTAGGGGCCAAGCTTCCCAGAGAGCTTATTGCCAAATACGACATGTGCTTGAGATGCCAGTTTGCTCAGGATGTGGAGGGAGTTCCCATTCACTCCACAGGGAATGGCCCAGGCTGTGCTGGAGGGCTGGGGCAACCCCAAGGCTGTGGACCTCAGCCACAGTAGCGCAAAATTTCCCTAATTTCCTTTTTTTTTTTTTTTTTTAAATTTTTGGACATGACATCTAGTGCTATCCTCAGGGAGCAAGGGCTCTATCCCAAGCCCCTCCAAGCAAAGGACACTTGAGCAGTGTCTCATGCACAGGGATAGGAAAAAAAGCCCCAGTCTAAGGAGAGAGCAACCAGGTGAGGAAAGGGCATCTCTGCAGGCAGCAGCCCACCTGCAGTGCAGAGTAAGAGCAGCTGTGGGAAATACCTTCACATGTCTAATACATCCTCCACCTAAATCTGAACTGGTCTTACTTAACCACCACATTTACCAGCCTTGGGCTCAAACCCAAGACACGCTCCACTCTTCCTCACACTCCTGCCAATGTTGTCCTTGGAAAGAGAAACCCCCAAAATCAACCAGGAAAATCCCCTCCCATCTCACACTCATGTGGGTCTCTATTGGAATCAAGACTCAAGGACTGGCAGTAGTTCCAGACCATCACCTCTTGTGCTCAGGACCAATCCCACAACCACCCAGCCACTGAGCAGGGATGGGGAGAGTCAGGAGATGACGCTCAGGCCCAGAGAAAGGGCTGTGCTGATCTTTTCCAAGCACTTTGTTTAAACCAGCGTGCACCCTGAAAGGTGCAGAGCAGAGGGATGGATCTGACAAAGGCAGCTCAAGCTCAACATGTCACCCTGTGGGCTGCACTGTGGTCTGCTCACACTGCCCTGGCAGCAGGTGAGCCTGGCATGGTCAGAACTCAGCACCCCTGACCCCAGAGCCGTGCCTGAGCTATGGCATTTAGGGAAACTTCCCATGAGTGCAGACAGAACAACAGTATCATGTGGTGCTTTTAAGCCCAACCTTGGCTGCTCTGGGTGGGAGAGCAGCAACAACACAGGAGGTTGTGCACCCCTGTCCCACTGCTTCCACCACGGATGCAGCTCTGGCAGCCTGTGCCATCTTCCAAGGAGAGCAAATCCCAGCCTGTTTGGCAGCCAGCCCTTTCCTTCAGAAACAAGCTGTCCTGGCTGGAGAGCTGGGAGCAACCAGCTGGATTTCTTCCAAAAAGCCTGGTCACAAAGCAACTGGCAGAAGCATTAAGGGAATAAATTTTCTTGGCAGCTACCAGCCAAGTGGCAACAACTCAATCCTTATCAGTGCATTTCCGTGTGCTGGGGAGGAATGCAGACAGCACCCCCAAAGCCACACCTTCCCAAAGCACCTCTTCCCCAGGAAACTCAACAGGAATTACAATCAGATACTGTAATATCATCAGTTAAAGTTTACACATTTTAGAAGAAAATACTGGTAAACCTGATGGTACTTCTGTGTGTGTGGGATCTGGTGGGATTTATTCCAGGTTTGATTTTCTGACAGGATGTGGAGTTTTATTTCAAAGGCACAGGTATCAAATAAAACCAGCAACATTAGTTTAATTAAACAGCCTAATAAAAGAAGTTAATGTTCAATTTAGACTTTACATATTCCTCCCTTATTAAGAGACTAGTTTTTGCTTTTTGTTTGTTTTTTTTTTTTTTCTTTTTTTACCCCTCTGGAAAGGTTTTAGTGCAGTGATTATATAGCAACAGAAAAATAAACTAAAAAAGGCACAAACTTTTGTGTTTTTTTCTTTTAACTTTTGCTAACACTTCATATTTGTCTGTTTTACTTCGGTTAATAAATCACTGAATGCAGCAAGAAAATATTCTGCCGATTTCTGTACACTATACAAGAACCCCTACCAACAGTACATTATTTCAGCTTCAGGAGAAATGTACAGCATAGAAAGACTTTTAAAAATATAGTGCCCCATAGAGAAATTTTGTTAATTAAACTCATGGTCTCTTGCTACAGTGTCCTTCACCATCCTCATTACCCCCTTATTGCTGGAACACACGCTGGGACTCTGCCCCTCCGACTCCTCACAGGCTGGACCAAGCCCAAGCCAGGCAATGAAAGGGCAACTGGGGCTGTGCCAAACAGCTCCTCCATCCCCAGCATCAGTGCCTGGCCATGGCCCTTGCAGGGATGGGCTGAGCCCTCTGCTCTCCGTCAGCTTTGCCAGCCACGTCTCAGTGCTGGGAAAGCTTCTGGCTGGAGAGGAAAGGCAGCTCCTGGTAGGAGTGGGACAGACAGCACCCCATGTCCCAGGTCTGTGCTGTCTGTCCCCCCCATCTGCCCAGGGCTCCTGTCCTCTCCCCATACCCTAAGGCTCCTTCCTTCTGCAGCTCTCCTGCTGACTCTTCATTGTATTTGCAAGCGTGGTTAACACATGCTCTACCCCTTGACCAACTTCATTGCCATGAGGTGGGGAGGTGTCCCCCCTCACCACATGCATAATACTTCATAAAATAATAATTGTTTTTCCCAGTAAATAAAGGGGTTTTCCCTTTAAACGTATTAGCAGAGCCAAACCCCTCTACCCACCCAAAATTAAGTGCAGCCAGAAATGGTTTTCTGTAATACCTCTGACACCACGCTTTAAAAATTAAAACCTACCAGTCTTCTTTTCCCCAAGACGTAATTCATGCAAAGTTGCTATTTGTTTAAATAAGTTATAAAAGTTGATATCTCAGGCTAGAAGAAGCTGTAGTCTTGGTTATTCTTTAGTTGGCAGGCACTGTACATACATACCGGGTACAGACACATGCCGAATCTGCTTTGCATTGCTTTTTGCATTGTACAATTCACAAATCTGACATCATTAAAGCAGTTAATTACCTTTGATGGAAGGCTGCAGTGAGGCCATCTACATTTATCAAACAAGCAGCTGGTTAAGATAATAAGTACGCTCCCCCCACCCTGGTGCTCCCCAAAATGCTATTATCTGTCACACGTTGCTTCTCTGAAGTGGTGAGATTTGGTGCGCACATTAATGTGCAAATGTGTTGCCATAGGAACTGCAGCCTCCATTACGCCTCAACGACACCATTCAGCAAAAGCCAAAACTAAAAATAACAACAACAACAACAAAAAAATAACCCTTAAAAATCAAATGAAAACAAACAAAAAAAAACCCCAAAAGGCAGCAAAGAGAAAGTCCAACGCACATGCGGAGTCTGGCCCAGGACTGCAGGTTACGCGTGGCTACGGAACAGCGCAGGAGATACTTAGGTTTGATCTTAACTTCACACTATGGTACAATGGGGCTCAGTTCAGCCGGTCCGAGTCTGTGCTGGCTTAGGAAGGAGGGGGAGGTGGAGCGGAGTCGTGGTTACCGGATGCACCCGGGGTCTCTCAGACATTTGGCAGAATGAGGCACATCCAAAAAAAGTGCAACACCAGTGCCGTGGTGGCAGTGCGATGTGTTTGAGTGCGTGCACGCGCTTTCCTCTTCATGCATTGTAGCAAGCGGGTTGGGGCGGAGGGGCAGGGTGTACCCCCCACCTTTTCTCTGAAAACTATTAACCAGTAGATTACGGTAAGAGGAATGCATATTCTACTTACTGGTGCGTGAAATACTGAAAACTGCATTCAAGTAATATTTCTGCACTATTATGAATGCATCACTATGTTATCTTACACCTGGAAAAGGAGAGGACTATGTACACCGGAGCAGTTGTACTATTTTGCAGTAAGTTTCTGTGCTTTACAGAGGTACCTGGGAAGGAGAGGCCGCTGCTCCGCTCCGCCCCGCTGGGTTGCAGGACTCCCAGCACCACCACCTACAGCATGCGAGGAAGGGGCGCTGCTCGGCCGGCCCATCGAGCTGAACGGAGCAAACCAAAACGTGACGTGAGGGTACAAAAAATCTAACCCAAAATTGGCAAATCAATGGTGATGAGAAATAGAAGGATAATTTATTATTTTTGAAGGGGGAGGAAGGAGGAAAAAATACTTTTTTTTTTTTTTTTTTTTTTGTTTTGGTTGGTGGGGTTTTTTTTATTCTTCCCGCAGCTGCAGGCGGTAGCGGTGGTAGCGGACCTGGAAAAACATTCTCTCCAGTAAGGAGCGCGTCATCCCTGGCAGGGCATAGTGTTCGACAACACCCACGTGCTTGAAGCCCAAGGACTCATAGAGCTTGTGGGCTGCCATCTTCACGGCCGTGGTTCCCAGCACGACAGAGGAGTAATTGTTGAGCATGGCGAACTCCAGCACTTTGCGGCCCAGGGCCTTGGCGATCCCTTTGCCGCGGTAGTTGGAATCGACGGACATGCGGCGAAGCTCCACGGTGTTGTCTTCCTCGTTGCCCCGCGCTGCCACGATCCCCACCACGTTGCCGTCCAGGACGGCAACCCAGAAGCAGGAGCCTGTGGAAGATAAAGCAGCACATGTAGTCACCCCAATGGACAAGTGCCCATTGCCAAACACACATCTGGGAGCAGGGGCTGGGGTCCAAAACCACGTCACATGTGGGGACTAATGACCTCCATAAATAAGAACCAAACACTCTTTTTTCCCTGACAGCATGAAGGAAATGTTGTTTTCCCAAGGAAAATGCACAGGGGCTACAACCTCCTGTCAGGGATTTGTAGAAAATGAGAAGGTCTCCCATGAGCCTCCTTGTCTCCAGCTTGAACAGCCCCAGCTCCCTCAGATGCTCCTCACAGAACTTGTGCTCCAGACCCTTCACCAGCCTTGTTGCCCTTCTCTGGACATGCTCCAACATCTCAGCATCCTTCCTACGTTGAGGGGCCCAGGACTGGACACAGTACTCAAGGTGTGGCCTGACCAGTTGCTTAATTATCACTCAAGAAAGCCACTATCCAATACAGCAGCCAGCCATGGGCACTGAGAGGTCTCTTGCCCAGATGAAAAGCACTGACTTTTAGTGCTCTGGAGCAATATGTCTTCATCCAGAGGAAGAAGACCCCACAACAGGAGAAACTCCTGGTGCAGGCAATGGCCTTCTTCCCAGCTGCTAAGCAGAAGAGAATCTGACTTGAGCAGCAGCTCCATCTTCTGCACCAACCCTGCCAACTTCTCCAACCCAAATGCATGGCCCGTCTCTGTAAGACCAGAGTTACACAGCCTGGAGGGGTGCTCAGGGGGGCAAAGGACCACCCCTCCTGAAAAACCAGGGGAAACATGAGTAAGACAACTTTGTCGCTGGAGCAGAGCAAAGCATGGGGTGGTGGTGGGAGGCAGCTTTGCAACTGCTGTAGGAAAAATGCACCTTGTGACTCCATGAAGCCATCTGAAAGAAATGCCCCAGGTCTTCCTCTCTTCCCTGTGGCACAGCTCAGCTTCCAACGAAAAGCTGGCTACAAACAAGGGCCAGGGAACCAGCCCAAGTTCACAGCGCACTGGGCCCATCCTCACATTCAGAGGAATGTGCAGCCTCAACGATGCTCACTCTTGTTTCCACTGTGAGCAAAACATCATGCTGCTGCTATCTAGGTCAACAGCTAATTTTTAAAACACCAGGGCCCATCTTGACCCATTTATCATGAGCAGTGAAGATGTCTCTGCTCTGCTGCCGCACTGACAGCGCGACTTGTTCCCCAGCGCTCACTTGGATCTCAGAACGTGATTTATTCAGACACGACCCCAGACAAACACCTACAAGCACTGAAATCAGGCAGCCACCCTCCCTCTGCATACAAATTGCAGGGTAGAGAGCTCACTGCTGGATTTAAAGTGCTCATCACGTGGTGGCTGAGCCCAGCTCACTCCCCAGCCCATCCATCACACCTCTGGCCACACGGCGAGCACACCGAACAGAAGGTGATCCTCACACAGTGATCCTCACCCTACATGCATGGCTACCACTCCTATAGTGTAGTTCCAAAAAGGAGGTTCAGGAATTTCCCCACACCTGGGGAGCAGGGGTGAGATGCTTCCCTGGGGCTCCACTCCTGGGGCAGCCCCCAGAAGTGCCATGAAGCAGCCATCAGCTGGTGTCCACTGGGCTGCAGACAGTGGCACAGCCATCACATCCCCCTCATCCAGCCCCATCCACAGCAACTCCTCCTGGAGCTGCTTCTTCAGCAAGTCTGCCTCATTTCCCCTCAAACCAGAGAAACAACCTAGGCTCCTCTCAACCCGAGGTTACACAATTGCTTCCACGACTGCTTCCCACTTTTATTCCTTATTTTCTCTTCTTAGCAAGCACCTCTTCTCTGTGCCCACCAAACCTGAGAGGCTGCTAAAGCTCGCTCAGCAACACTTCCCACATTTGTAAAATGGCACGTTTCTGGTACTTTGAGGTATTCTGAATATTTAAAACCCAAATCTGGACATACCCACTACTGCAGAGCCACCAAACCCTTCACATTCCCAGCCCCTCTGACCACCCTCTCCATACTCCCACACCTGTCCATCCCAGCAGGGACTGGACCCGGTTGCAAGCAGCATGACAGCAAACCTGCACTCCTTGTTAGCTTTTACTAACAATTTTAAAGCTTAATTATAATGATTTTGAGTTCAACACGAAAAGAAATAGTATCTGGCACATGTCCCAGTGTGTTTTGTGCACACAACACTTATAATTAGCCACAGACAGGACGCATCTGCTCAAACAATGAGAGCTGTATTCACCCTCCTTTATACCAGTGCCATCAGTCCCCAAGACTTCTACCCTGCTGTCCTCCTCACGTCTGTGTCTGCTCCAAGGATCACCAGCAGCCAGTTCCTTCAGGCTACTAAGGCACTCAAGTTCCCAAAGGTGGCTACAAGTCCAGGAACTGCTTTCCCCCATGGGGATGTCAAACCCCTCCTCCAGGCAGCTGCGTTCCATTTGGATGGGGACTCGCCCCTGAAAGCTGTCTTGGGATCACAGCACATGCTGCCGACCCTGGGCTGGGACTCCCTCTCCTCTGGGAAAACCCTCCAGTTTCACAGCAAGAACACTGAAGGTCCTCAGATTGCTTTTTACCCAGACTCAACTAGATGACCTCTAAAGGTCCTTTCCAGCCCAAACCATCCTATCCTATGATTCTACATTTTCCACACTGCCAGCCAGCTGCAGTTCCTCACCATATCCCCTCTTCCAGCAGCACTTAACTGTGGAGCAGTGTGGAAGCAGCCTGGAAAAACCACCTTGCACTGCCACACTCCAGTGCTGGGAGAGGGTCTCCTGACCTTTTCTAGGCTGAGGATATCGACTCAGCACAGCTTGTTTTTGCACCTTTTCATACCTAGGATGAAACAAAACTAACTTCATCTCAGCTGTCAGTAATGAGCAACAGCCTTGTTTGCAGCGCTATTATTAGCAGGAGCTGACGTTTTACTCTCTCACATGCTATCTGAAAATAATCACTGCTGCAAAGATAAACACAGACCCTGACAGCTACAACTCTCCCTGCCCTTCCAGATACTCATCTCATGGCACCATCTCTGTCTTTGCCTTCACCCTCACTTGCTTCCGCCTTCTGCCAACCTATCACTATGGTCATCCAAAGCCCTTCCTGCTCACTCCAGGATCTGTTCTTCATGGATGTCTTGCATTTAACCACAGCTGCCCTGGAACACCACTCTGAAGCAGTGGAGGCACTTTCCAGAGGTCCTAGCTGTTCCCAGCCAAACACCAAGCACTCCTTCCTGACTCCTTCTGGGCTGCCAAAAGCAAAAGGGAGGAGAAGCAGCCATGGAAAATGCACTACCACCTTCCTTAGCTTTCTCCACTTCCTCAGCTTGCTGCCTCACCACACAATCTTGACATCAGGAACTCACATCACAGACAAAAGATACAATAAAGAAATAATTTTTTTTACCATGAAGGTGGTGAGGCACTGGGACAGGCTGCCCAGAGAAGCTGTGGCTGCCCCATCCCTGGAAGTGTTCAAGGCCAGGTTAGATGGGGCTCTGAGCAACCTGGTCTGGTGGAAGATTTCCCTGCCCATGACAGAGGGGTTGGAACGAGATGATCCTGAAAGTAGACCTGAAAGGTCTCTTCCAACTCAAACCATATAATAATAATAATAAAAAAACAAAAAAACCCAACACCTTGTGACGCACACACGTATGAAAAAAGGCACAAAATGCCTGTGATGTGCATGCCAAGGAATATGATTTCAGCTTGCTCACGCTTCACAGCAAGGTCAGACATGGTTCCTCAGCTGATGGCACCCAGGGTCTGAAAGCACACAAGATGGCACTGTCTTTCTGCTCTGAATTTAAGGATGGTTCCCAGTTTTTGAAGACCCGACCAGGTATTCTTCTAATCCACCTACCCATCTCTCACAGCACAGGGCAGCCCTCAGAGTCCACACACCGCTGCTGACACCACATCCCAAGGATGTCCCTGCAGTAGTGGCACGACGCTGGCCACATAGTCTCCACTCCTGCCCAGGATGCCATGCAGTCCTCTGGCTGTGCCTGCAAGCCTCCTCTCCCACCCTCCTCCACTGTCATGAGCTGCACAGCTCTCCCCCACGCAGCCAACGAGGATGGATGGTGGGTGAAAATAAATTCATTTATTTTTGCTGCAAATTCTTCTACACCTTTTGATGAATAAAAGGCCAGTGGGTGGATGGGTGGAAAGACTGGAGCCAAAAGCAATAGCAGAGTAGTGCTAGAAGGGAGGAGGGACAGGGACATCAGCCTTCCTCACCAGCATAAGTCCCACATGACTGACTATTGCAGGATCCAACAGCTTTCTTAAGCCCTCAGCATGCAGGAGCCACTACCCCAAGCCCCAGAATTGTGTTGCTCTGAAAAGGCAAAGCTCTTGTCTTCCACATATTTTTCAAATAAATTGTTTTCTAGAAAATTCTACTATTCCCACAAGAGCAAGCAAAGCTTTGCTGCTCCAAAACTTGGGTGCTTCCTCATGCCAGCACCTGCACACTGAGGGGTGAGGGCTGGGGCAGGTAAAGCCTATTCCTGTTTTCCTTAGAGATGGGGAGAGAACAGAGCAGCTCCTGCGGCCACCACTGGCTGCTGGTGCTAATTTTGCCTGGATGCATCCCTGTGGGAAGGAGTTTTCCTTGGAAGCTCAGCACAGGGCAGTATGGAAATCTTGCCCAGAGGCATGCCAGACTTCTCTCGTTTTCTTTAGGGTGGCACTGCTATCTACATAGCCAAGCTCTCATTAATTCTTAGTGCCTTATGCATGGAACATAATTCCCAGACAGACATTCAACTTCTTAAGAAAATATCCCTTCAAGCAGAGACTATGACTTTCAATTCTACTTTGGCATGTCACAGCAACACAAATGTGAGCAATTCTCCTGCTGGCTCAAAGCTGTCACAGGTGACATCCAGACAAGGGGACTGGCAGTTTCCATCACCACTGCTGGGAACACACCAGGACAGCAGCAGCTCCTCTGCATCCTTACAGCAGAGGCAGGAAAGCATCCTGCACAGG